TGCTGCGTTCGTTGCATTATTTTCCAAAACGCCAGAGGGTGAACAAACAAAATGAACTGTGAAGAATCAAGAAGACAATGAGTATAGCCTATGAGTAAAACCATAGACTAAAGGGTTCATTAAGAAATAAACCAACCTCCACAATGCAGAGGAGGAATTGTAATTATCCGTAAACTCATATCTCATATTCATGGACTACTTTATTGCTTTTATACAAGCCCTATAAAGAAACAAGTTAAGTATTAAATGCATTATAAAGAAACAAAGGTTGAATATCCTGGAAACAATTTCATTTGGCTGGCAAAATATATACTTAAATCTAGATTTTTAAGACCTCCTGTTTCTGAAGCATCTAAAGGTGAATTTGCCTTCTTTGTCTGATACCTAGACATGTAAATAGTGTTTTTTATCAGTGAACTATTTGTGATAGACACATGATCGGCAAGTTAAAAAAATTCATAGGTGCGAGAACCAAGCGCTGCGACCACTTGCAGGCCATACACACCCCACGAGCCGGCCGTGATTACATAATTTTCTGGCACGCGCACCTCCTTCACTATGCCGAGTATAAACTAAGCTGAAGACATCCTGTATGAGCCCACCACAGGAAGTAGGATGTCATTTTCAATGAAGTTATTTGAGAGAATACATGAGCCTATTTAAATTAATAAGCATATTTCTGATTCTAGTTAATTAATTCAAGTAAATTGTAAACCTTATTTTAATGTGATTTTAATGTGATTTAACTATTTTAATCTGCTCACCTTGCACCTTCCATTCAGTGTGTATGCAGGTCCTTCAAAGGAAAATGTCTGTATTGAAGGGATAGTTTGGATTGTCTGAAGTGGGATTACATGAGGTACTTATCCATAGACAGTGTCTACAGTAGGTGGCAGTTGCCCAGTGCACCTTTAAACTGGTTAATGAAACAACTTTTGTTCTCTTTGCTCTTTCCTGATACTTGCCCCAGCTCATTCCACCCAACCTGGAGGGACTCTCGATGTCCACATACTGCACCCTGGCCTCAACATCTACAGGATAGCAACGCTTTGGAAACATCTTGAAAGCTTGCTGATCTATTCAATGACTATTCAAGCCAATGGACTATTAAAAACTTTGGGCATCTGTCTTAAACCTAACTGCCACCTTCACGTTTAGCCGAGCTATCTTGACCCAATTCAGTTTAATTACTCTTAACCATCAAGCTGACCTGCGAATATCATACCGTGCACTGATGTATTTTTTAAATATTTAAGATTTTTCAGGAACTTTGATCATTAAAATATAAATATATAAAAAATATGCACTTTTTAGTAAGATAGTGTCATATAACCAAGTCACATATTTTGTGCTATTTACGAGAATACATGATGAAAAATTATTAATTCAAATTACATTAATATAACATTTTATTTTACGTCATATATTACATCATATCATTAATGGGAAAGCCTTTTATTTTTTACAGCAATAAAGGGAATTCATAAAAAATAAAGTGGTATTTTATATTACATACTGTCAATTGCACAGTAAAACACTGTCTTATTTCATGGCAAAGCTTGTGGCATTTTCTCAACGCTCACACAGAATATCTGTATGGGTGAACCCAGATACCGTTGTAACCCTAAATATAATTTGTAATAGTGCTCGCCTCATGATTGGTACTGCGCGTGTGCAACTCTAGAGCTGTAGCAGTATCACGTCGCGGCCATTTTAAATTAACACTATTAAAATTGTACTTTAACAAATAATATATATTATACTGATATATAATGTAATGTTTTCAGTTAATTTGATGGTATAAAAATAAAGTCTAATTTCTTACATTTCCAACCGAACATCGTTTTAAACATTTGCTTTAGCTTTGTATTTACGTTGCAATGCTGGTGAATTAGCTGTGCGCCTCCCTTGACTTTGTTCATATATTCCCATCTCCTCATTGTAAACACTGCACGCTGCTGGTTTTTCAGGCGTATTAAGATTTTACTGGGTCACCCGAATAACAATGCTGTCAATACATCCAGGATCGTACTTCCGTCCTTCACAATGAGATATTAAGCTTCAACATAGTGCTGGACGGTATAACCAAAAATTTGTATCACGTATTTTTTAAGATTCTGGCGGATTCACGGTATTATTTTTTTTCCATGACTGTTTTTATATAGGTTCATAGTGGCTTACTCTACTGTCAGGAGTACATAGAATATTAAAACATTTTAATGCCATGTATAAAGGCTTTGCTTACTATAGAGTGTGCTCGTTTGTTAGAATAATGTTGGGATAGCAGTTTGGCTGAAGTATTTTCGCCCCGGTAAGACATACCTTCAATACAGTGTTTTAATCATTGCTCTGAACCCGTCTTTCTCGACTGTCTGTAGTGGGACCATGTCCTTGCATAAATGGGTCATTATTGCGTTCGTAATGTCGCTCCACCGCTTGCTTTTCTTGTCATATGCAGTGCCTCGAGCTAATGCCTCTTCAAGCTATGTCTGACCCTTTGGCTTCACTGTTTCACTCGCGCTAACGTTACTAGTTGACGGCCTCGAATCCGACGGCCCAGCTCTTCTCTTGGGCACAGACTCTATTGGTGCATCTCCGGTCTGTCTTTCTTCATCCTGCATCGCTCTTTTCTGTTCATTAATGTAACGTTACTGTAGCGATGGCACCTCTTCCGTCTGTTAACAGACTGTTGTGCAAGCGGGCTAGCTAGCTAGCGAGCTCTACCCAGCATGCCGTTCGGCGGTGTAATTTTATAAATGTACTATTAGTGTTATAAATTGTTTATTTGTCACAAACTGTTGTGTCGTGGTGTTTTGCCCTGTTAAAGAGCGTTAGTTGTGGGTTATTAATTGTTGTGTTATGAAGTTTAACCATGATTAGGGGTCCCTCTCAATACACATAAGTCAACTAGCTCCGACCGTAGCGCTTTTGGAGGCGAACAATATATTCTGTTGCCTGTTGAAGAGTGACAGCAGTTGTTTCGGCTATGCACCGGTATGACGGTGTGTGAAAAATTCATATCATACGGGAAATTAAAACCGGTATACCGGTTCCGCCCAGCACTACTTCAACAACTCGAAATTATTAAAAATAAAAGCTCACTGAGCTCGCTGAGAAAGCATTCGATCGAATCGAATGGAAATATATGTTCAACGTTTTGAAAAGTTTCTCTCTGGGTAATACATTTATAACTTGGGTAAAGTTACTGTACACCTCTCCACAAGCAATGGTTATGGCTAACGGTCTCACTTCACCCCGGTTCACTCTCGGGCGTGGCACTCGTCAAGGTTTTCCACTGTCCCCACTTCTGTTTTCCACTGCCATTGAACCTCTGGCCGAGGCTATTAGAACAAACCCACACATTAGTGGTATTAACAGTGGGAAAATGGAGCATATTATTTCATTATATGCGGACGATATGCTGTTATTTCTTTGCAATCCTAAACAATCAATTCCCTCTGTGCTAGAAACAATCAATGAATTTAGTAGTCTCTCTGGCTATAAGATCAATGCGGGTAAATCTACTGCCTTACCACTAGGAGGCAGTAGAGACCCAGACAATGGTATAAATCTCCATTTAATTTGTCTTATAATGGCTTTAAATATCTGGGAATCCAGATCTCCTACCAACTGGAAGATCTGGTGAAGATGAATCTGTCTCCTATCCTTAAACAGGTTAAACTGGATTTACTAAGATGGATGCCACTTCCAATTTCTTGGCTGGGACTGATATTAAAATGAATATACTCCCAAGAATTTTATATCCCTTACAAATGATACCTAATGACATCCCAAGTAGCTTTTTTAAAGATCTGCATAGGATTACATCTAAGTTTATCTGGAAAAGTAGACGTCCTAAAATGAGACTGGAGAAACTTCAACTGCCAGTGGTAAATGGGGGTCTAGCAGTGCCAAACTTTCAATACTATTATTGGTCTATACCAGTGGTTCTCAAACTGTGGGGCGCAGCGGTATTGCAGGTGGGGCGCAGGGGGAAATGCAGAATTTTTTTTATTTCAAGAACTTTATTCATACCTGCAAACTTGTCACTTTTCGGCGAAATTCGCCGTTTTGAATCAAAATATATCATCCACGTGAATCGTGTAGATCCGTAGAGTATCAACTGGCCAGCCAGCGTTTCTCAGATTGGAGTGAGACGAGGAGAAAAGGTGATGTCGTGTTGTTCACAATAAAACATCTTTGATATGTCGAGTCTTTGCCAATCAGCGTTAAGATGTCTGCACCGTCTTCATTTCCCTCCGTTACAGTTTAAGTTCCGTTATGTTCCGTTACTGTTCAGACTTGGTGGGTTAAGTTAACGTCCACTGTATGCGGAACTTCGTGGACTGTTAACGTTCATCATTATCGCGATTTAGGAGGAAAAAACGTAACGTGATGAAACATGAAGCCCCCCCATGTTCCGGTGTGCGAGATTAACTGGTTTTGAATTAACTTGTTTATGTGGGAGTGCCTGAGGCAGATGTGTGGTAGGAGTGGCATTTCAGGACCCACGTAGAATAAACAGGAAATAAATATTTCGATCGTTTCGCCTCTGTCTTTCACGTAGTTTCTACGGTTTCTTTTGAAAGAATATAAACGGAACACTTTGCTGGAAAATGTACTACTCGTTCGCGAGGCTGTGGTTGAGATTCCAAGGACACATAACGAGGACCAGAGTGAACGACAAAGTTGGTGGTAGGTGTTGATGCCTGTTCAAAATACTTACGTCAATACAAAATACTTACTGTACGCTATCCACCATCGATCATGATTCATATTAAAGACTACGGATGCTCATCTTTGTCATCACAACTATATGCTACACTATTTAGCACGCATTCACCGTTACGACACATTTTTGCTTAACAATTTTCTTTCTTTATTTATGTATGTGTCAGATTCAGAACCGTTTATTGCCATGGTATGTTGAACATACAAGGAATTTGACATGAAGGGAGGTGCATAACAAACAACAATCAACACAGTGCAAAGTAGAAACTTTGTAAAATGTATGTATTTATGTATTTTAAATATTGCGCAATCACTTGATTTAAAGTTTATTTTAATACTTTCACCTGTCCTACCTTACATGCTTCGGCATGATTCATCTGCAAATGTATTTTATACTGTTTTAATTGTGTGCTTTTATTTAGTTGTTTTTATTTGTTATTTTGCATTGGTAATGATCTGCTATCTATGGAAAGCACGTTGTGCTCCCAGCTTGAAAAGTGCCACCCAAATTAATATTTTGTTATCATTTTGTAGATTAAATATGGCTGTTACATTCGTTTGGTGATCAAGAGGCATTCATTTCTGAACTACCTGCAGCAGGTGTAGACAACTGAAATGATTAGGCATGGTATTTAAGGTGGTTGTTACGGCCTATATAGTGTGCCTAGGGGTACACAGGAAGTAACATAAAAGGTGATAGAAAACCTTGGCAAAAGTTTAACAAAGACCAAGAGGATAAGGCAGCGGCAATTATACACATTTACTAACATTATGGATGAACAGAAACAAATCAGCTGAATAAGGAAGCGTAGCCGTCAGGGTCTCTAAGGCCAACATAATAAACAAAACCCCCATGCTAACTGGAAAAGAAGATATCAGCTGAACTACGAACAAACAAAACACAATACTGAACTCCCTAACTAGTCACAAAAACAGGAGAAAACTTTACCAAAATAAAAGGCAGAGAACCCCTACAAAGCTTCCATTAAGTTTGAACCCCAGGTATGGCAGCACAACTGCTCTTGGCAACAGCAACACCGGCCCACAGTGAACAAACGAGGGCTGGGAACACTGGATTCGGGGGTTGATATGCAGCTCCACTGACGAGATGAGGACTCTCAGGTGTGGGTGCTTCAGTGATCCTCAAGGGGCGTGGCAGACCTGCAAAGACAAACAGAGCTCTCTTCTAGAAAAGAGGCATCGTTAAGTCAGGGGGTGTAACAGTGGTGTAACATGGCAAATGTTTGTGGGTTTGTGAGGAGTGAATTTAGATCAGAGACATAGTATAGTTGGATAGTAGTATAGTTGGATAGTAGGATAGTAGGATAGTAGTATAGTTGGATACTGGAATTCAAAGTCCACAACCGGTTTCCTGAGGGGTCAAGCAACAACCAAAAGTATGTGATCAAAAGGAGAGCCAGCACCTTCAGGATAAAGGGTAAGGATGCATGCCACATGGACTTTACAACACAATGACCATCTGATATGGTGAAACTCCCAATGACTCTTATACTATGACATTTAAACACCAGATGGAGAGCTGTACTATATCTGCAGGTGGAAAAAAAACCGACCTGGGCACATGGCAAAAGTTGTTTCAACTGCAGAGGAAGCCAACCGTGTGTTTGAGGAGTTTCACTGCAGCGATATTGGCGGTCACTGTGGAGTAGAAAAAACCCACAGTGCCATTATATTGCGATATTATTGGCCTGGCATGGAGGAGGACATTTGCAAGTGGGTAAGTTGGTCTCTTCAAAATAATTATGTGGAAAACACATTGAGGTTCAAAAGTACAGCACAGTTGAGTGTAATGTGTATATTTAAAAAAGAAGCTGATTTTGTATCAAATTGTCAATATAACATATTCAGCATACGTTTGAAATGATGTTGGTCTGTTTAGATTGCTCAGTGTCCACAGTGCCAGGCCAAGAGGGCCAATATCAAAGAAAAGCAGGAGTACACTCCAATAGAGGTAAAGGAAACTTCTATTTTTATCTTTCAAACACCAGAACGATCTTTTAATGCTAGTATTTTCTTTCTTCTCGCAGGTAACGGAGCCTCTTGAGCTGGTTGGTATGGACCTAGTGGGAAAACTGACCGTAACAGATGGTGGCAATCAGTACATATGTGTCATGGTTGATTATTTCACCAAATGGGCAGAGGCCTACCCACTTAAGAGCAAGACAGCAGATGAGGTGACCAGTTGTATTCTTGATTTCTTTTACAAATTTGGTGCACTTAAAAGACTGCTAACAGACCAGGGCTCAGAGTTCCGCAATAAGGTATATACATTAACCAAATGTTAATTTTAAGGTCAACTATAACCTGTGTGAGAAGCTGGGCATCGAGAGAAGCCTGTACTCGCCCTATCATCCACAGACCAATGGCCTTGTTGAAAAATTAAATGGCACAATACAGAGGTATATTTTCATTTCAATAGTTCAATGAATTTGAGCTATTCATAGAATAACTAACTGATTGCCTGATTTTGTTGTGAACAGTTAATCAGTAGTGATATACTTAATGAAAATAGGTTGCTTTATCACACCAAATGCCTGTATTTGATTTCTGCATTTTTAGGTCCCTGAACAAACTGGTTGTCGATAATCCAACAAGATGGGACAGAGTCCTCCAGTCAACAATGTTTGCCCTCCGCACCAAAAAACAGTTGACAACCAAGTACAGTCCCTATTTTCTGATGTTTGGGAGGGAGGCGCGGTACCCTTCAGAGGTGCCAAAGGCGTATGACGTAAGATTCTCTAATGTTGTCATCCTTTTTTAAAACATTGACTTTGGATCATCTATTTGCTCAACATTGTAACTGTGATTTGTGGCAGGTAACAGAGGATAAAGTCTGCAGCCTGGTGGCACGAGAGGACCAAAGCCAAGGACTAAAAAAACAAAAAGATATTTTTAGTGAGGTCCAAGAAAATATAAAAAAAGGCCAGGAAAGGGTCCGTAAAAAGAGAGAAATGGGCCAGGAAAAAGTGGGGGATCTGGTTCTGTTAAAAAACATTTGACAGGAGCAAAGAAAAGGGGGAAAAATGGAGGCAGACATGTTGGGTCCGTACAAAATTGCCCAGCTGGAAGGGAAAAGTGCCGTTCTTTCCACAGAAAAGGGCAAAAAAGCAACCAAAACCAACATAGACCACATGACACACTATTTCCAGCCAGAGGAGAGGATCCCAGCCAAACTGAAACAAGTGTTGGATCTTTCTCCTCTGGCTGGTCCACAACAGACACGGGCACTCATACACAACACACAAACATCCACACCACCACCACAAACATCCACAACACCACCACCACAAACATCCACAACACCACCACCATCACCACAAACATCCACACCACCACCGACTGGTTGTGAACATCCATCCAAGGGCCAAGAAACCACCAATGTTGAAACTTGTAAGTAAACTGATACAAAATCCAATCACAAATTATGAATTTCTCAAATAACTGTCATTGTTATGTTTACAGTAATCCAAGACGTATGGACAGGAAGGAGAGGGGAGACGCTGTGGTCAAGGATTGGGCCGTATAAGACTTTTTCTGAAAATCTGATGGTCTTGGCCCCGGGAAAACAGTTTGAGGGAGAGGTACTTAAAAAGAAAAAAAGATATTGGACTGATATTTTACTTTGACATTGATGACAACTTACTGTTTTACTCATAGATCGTGAATGCATACATAACTCTGGTGGGAAGGAAAGCGAATGCTACCATTTTGGACACCTATATGATGACGGCACTCTGGCAGGGAACTCACAAAGGTGGACACTGGACACTCATTGTAAGTAATCTTCAATGTTCAGATCTAGACTCAGTCATGTGATGTATGACTGCTTGGCTATAATTGGTATTTCCATCTCTATAGATCATGTATCTTAAGGAAATGCGGTCGTTATACCTCAACCCATTTGAAGCCACTGACGAGCAGATTAATAAATGCAAAGATGTCACAAGGTACGTGAAATATCAGCTTTAATGTGTGAAAAAAAATCATGCATTTAGGCTAATCTTTAAGGAGCAACACCTATCTAATTAAATAATAATCCTTGTTACTACTGCTTGGACGAGAGTGTCCTTGTGAAGTACCTTTTTTGTTGTTATCAAACATCATTCATCTGATCCTGAATTGTTATGTTTGTAAAAATGGCTAACTGTAATCAATCTGTGATGTGTTTGTAGAGCACTAGTCCGTAAGAAGTGTCCAGCAGTTGGGAGATGGACATGCTCCACAATTGATCATCCCATTCAAGTGGATGCCACTTCATGTGGCGTGTTTGTGTGCAAGGTAACAATGTGATTATCTCTGTGGCCATCTGTCATTATAAAAAAAATTATATGACTAAATTTATCTGGACTTTTTTAGCTTGCAGAGCAGATATTGTTGAACAAAACAATTCAGTACCCTGTGGACGTGAGGGTGTGGCGAAGTTGAGGCTGGAAATGGCAGTGACTCTGCTGAATAGGTATACAGGACTGTAACAGGTATACATAAATGTAGTTTCTGTGTCGGCATTAACCAACATTAATAACTATATTATTTTTACAGATAACCTATCCCAACTGTGTCGGGCTTGTGGGGAGCTCAGCTCAGGGGCTGAGATTGACGAGTGGGTAAGAAGATTCATTTATATCCTGACCAACAACATTTGGCTGGAAGACTGGGGTGCACCTTACCTCAACATCACCGGGTGAACACTCACAATCCCACAGCGACTGAAAATGTCTAGTTTAAGTCACCTAACTTGCATGTCTTTGCACTTTCGGAGGACACTGGAGCAGCTGAAGGAACACAGCTAAGATTTACACACAGTATCTGAGATTCATACAATGCGTGCACAGGATTATAAGGACTGACTGTTTAATGAAGTTAAAATAGCTTAATTTTACACCCTAATCTGGATGAGTGATGTCAACCAGACAAAATGTAAGAAAATACTCATGGCAATATTTTTCACTTTCAGATTGAGTGCACCACCTGCACGCTGTGGTTTCACCAGGGATGCGTAGGCCATCCCTCCACGGATCAGGACTACTCATGTCGGGCATGTGCCTGAAATTGTGTCGTGGAAGTTCAACCTGAGATTGAGCGCAGTTCAAAGAGACCCTGTAAAATTGTTATTGTACACATACTTGGCCAATAAAAGAGATTGTCAATCCTTACTTATCATTATTGTCTTTCCGTCTGTAAAAAAAAAAAGTCTAGGTACTATACAAAACAGATCTTTCATATCAACAATTTGTATTTTTTCACACTAGTTATATATGGAATGTTTTTACTGCACAAATTAGTGTTATTGAATTACTTTATTTGTATTTCTCTACATGTGTTGTATATTCTAGCATGCATACACACAGACATTTTACCTACTCCTGTATTTGTCATGCGTATTTACAAGAGCTGTTACGTTCAACTATTTCCCCACGGGGATCAGAAAACAATTGATGATGCTTAAATTAGCTCACATTTGAGATGCCTCCCATGTTTTATCACTGTCCTGGTATTAACAAAGGTCGTGGTACAAAGCGCGTAAAATCACGGTTCGACTGCAATTAGGTATTTGCTTTCGGTGGTTGTAAATGATGCAAGAAGAAACTGCAGCCAGTGTTTGACTGTATTGTAGATATAAAGGTTACTGTATTATATACCTATTCGCTCAAGTTTAGGTTTTATTATTGTGAAGCATTTACTAATGTGAATGTTACACGACTTCAACACATCCTCTTCGCTCTGTGGCTCAGTGGTAGTTCAGATAACACTTAAACAGCATGAGTCGGTCATAATCAGCGGTTCGACTCCTGTGGGTCCATATTTCTACTATTTTTACGTCAGCAGACAAATATTATTTTCGTAATGAAGATGGATAATTGGTCGTGGTAATGCTGTCGAAATCCTAAATTAATACTCCAACAAGCGCATCGTAATGTTTCAACAGACACCCTACCTAACCCCTGCGTGTAGTTATTCGATTTCGGCCCCTCTAGTAACAAAACGAGAGTTACCAATCATGTCTAATCTGGATGAATGTGTGCTGCACAGTGTAGAATATCGTTAACATAAAATGCATGTCCGTAGTCTTTAATATGAATCATGATCGATGGTGGATAGCGTACAGAAATGGAATCACAAGTTAATCTGGGTGGATCACAGTTTCCCACAGTTGACAGTCATCTGTACGCTGTGTTTGAGCTCATATGTTTAACGCAGTCTGAATGGATCCACAGGTATATCGGTCTCAAATCGGCTTGACATGAGATTAATAACGATATATGATACAAATATAAGACGGACAACAGAGCGTTTCTTAAAGGATTTATTGACGTAAGTATTTTGAACAGGCATCGACACCTACCACCAACTTTGTCATTCACTCTGGTCCTCGTTATGTGTCCTCGGAGGGTACTTCTCAAGTCTCTTCCCGGTTTCCCTCACTTGGGTCCTTTCCTTGCGTCTTAGTCCCTCCCACCAGGGATGCATGGAGGAAACCATGCGAGGAGAGAGGAACGAGGAAATATGTTTTAAGAGACATAAAACGTCCTTTCCTCAGTTGCATCACGTGAAGCGACGTCTGTTTCTGATGACGGAGGATCAGCTGGATCAGCTGTCAGTCGGCTTTAACAGCTGGATAAACTTTTGAGAAGTTTGTCTGTTCACATGATCACTGTACTTAATAATAGTAACTAATAATACGAATAACTAATAAAGACACAGTAATCACCACTGTAGAGGTGTTTCTCTCTGTAGTCTGTTACCAAACTGTGTTCTGTGTTCTGTTTGTAAGCGCAGGATCGATTTCTATCGGCGGAATGCGATCGTCTTATTTATGAATTATTTGCGTCTGTACGTTTTGAAATTGTGACTGTGGCGTCATTATTAAATCACCCAGAATATGTTTATTGTTTCTCTTAAATGATAAAACTCATCAAACACTCAGGAATGATGTAATAAGTGTTTCGTCTCTCCAGCTGTATGTATTGTATTCATAATAAAAGTTATTGAGGGAAATATCAGATCATGAAAACACAAATCTTTCTAATGAATGAAGAATGTTGTTTGTGGTCGTTTTGTTGTTCAGACTACAATGAACATTTATTTAAACCAGATGGTGAATTAGAAACCTAATCAAATATAAACTAGAGTTTAATCTGTGATCCGTCTTCACTCTGGTGTTAAACTCAGTCAGTCAGTCCGATCAACTGCAGCGTCCAATCACATTACTGATGAACAATAAGGGGGCGTGTCGGCCGTTAAAAGACTTCCTGGAAGTCTGTTCTCGTGGTTCCTCTCATGGCTCCTCCGAGGTCCCTCCTCCATCCTCGATCCTCGCTCCTCCAAGCTACATTAGAGCTTTGGGACTGCCGTCAATATGGCGGCGCAGAAACAACTTCCGGTTCAAGCGAGGATCGAGGAGCGAGGAAACGACAATTAAGAGACTTGAGAAGTACCCGGAATCTCAACCACAGCCTCGCGAACGAGTAGTACATTTTCCAGCAAAGTGTTCCGTTTATATTCTATCAAAAGAAACCGTAGAAACTACGTGAAAGACAGAGGCGAAACAATCTAAATATTTATTTCCTGTTTATTCTACGTGGGTCCTGAAATGCCACTCCTACCACACATCTGCCTCAGGCACTCCCACATAAACAAGTTAATTCAAACCAGTTAATCTCGCACACCGGTTCAGTTCACGCGGTCACTCGTTAACGTTAAACCCGAACACCGGCGGATCTGGTTGCAGGTTGTTTGTTTTACCTCAAAGTAGAATGAAAGGCCCAGATACTGATGAGATGATGAGGTCAAAGAGCTTCAGGAAGGGGACGCTGGTTGTGTAGCGCAGCTTGACGCAGGGCTGAGATGTGAGTGGAGCTGGGCCTGGATAAAGGTGGAGGTCTAAACAGACTTGAGTACAGCTTCTCGCTGTCACAGTATTTTAAATACATTGATAAGGCAGGGTATGCTAAATGCAGCCTCTGCTCCAAGGAGATGAACTACAGCAACAAGGGCTCACATGCCCTCTCATCACACTGTTCACACCGTTCACTGTAATGACCACAGCCAGTGTACCAACAGTCCCAACAGTCCCACGTACAGTTAAATCACAGCTATTATTTTACTCTTGACCTTAGCCAGAGTAGATTATCATTTTCATTTAAATAATTGAACTGGATTGAATGCATATTAATTGCAAATTAATATGGAATTAGGCCACAATTCTAACAGTTTTACAGTAACAGTAGAAGTTAATATTAAGCCATACAGTAACAGGGTTCAATGAAAACTAATCACTTTATTTGTACAGGCGATGGTTCTCGCTACTCTTGCTGTTTTTGTTTTTATATGACTAAAACATTTAAAGGTCAATAATAATAGAGCTGAAATACTGATTAATAAATTAGTTTTTTGCGGCTTATCACTTAATTTTCTTCTCAGAGTACAGCAGAATGCTACATTTTAAAGCTCATATTTAAAATAAAATGCTCCTGATATGTGTGAGCATATGGCTCACACATACCTGCACTCATTTTGTTTTGCACAAGTTGCACGTTATTGTTGTTTTGAAAATATATGCAGTGCAAAACTCAGTAAAACTCTTTATTGCCAAATATTTGAACTTGTTTTGTTTAGTTCTTCACAGGTTGCACTTTATTGTTATTATCTTGAAAATATATTCAGTGCAAAACAGGTGAATTGCAGCCACAATAAGATATTTTTTTACCAAATATTAGTTATTTCTTTGTACAGATTGAACTTTATTTGCATTGTTCTAACAAAGGGATTGCACAATGTATTTGTCTGATGGAGCAATCTGGTTTACTTGAAAGTGATTGCAATTTTCTTTATTCTATTATTTGAAAAAGCACAAATAGAGGAGTCAAAATGTTATTTCAATAAAAGTTCAACATGGACCATTTTGTTACAATTTTGTTGAGGCGGTGGGGCATGAACATTTTTCTTCCTCCAAAGTGGGGCGTGACAGAAAAAGTTTGAGAACCACTAAAATGTATCAGAATGGGTGGCACAAGACCCCAAATCAATATGGTTAGACTTTGAATTGCAAGGATGTAACACGTTCTCATTGTCAAGCATACCATTCTTAAATAATGTTAAACAAGCATCAAGCATTAGGGACAACTTTATTATAAGTAACATCCTAAGCACATGGATAAAGGTAAAGATGGCATTCTCCGTCAATAGAAGATACTCTTTTTATGCACCGATTGTTAATAACCCCGATTTTACTGCTTCTTGCATGGATCCTGGTTTCAAAGAATGGAACACATATGGAATTAAGGTGAAAAATGATCTCTATAAAGGTGGCACTATGAAATCGTTCAATCAACTTCAGGAAGAGTACGGGCTACCCAAGACTCACTTCTTCCGATTTTTACAAATATGCAGTTTCTTAAACTCTATAGCCCACTATAAGGAAGGTCATGGACCAGAGCAGATAGAGACAATCATTCACCAGGTCTGTCAGCTGAAGAGGAAACAAATAAGCTACATTTACCATAAACTGTTCTCTTTAAGCAATATAAGTACTCACAGCTGCAGGCAATCATGGGAACGAGACCTTAAAACTGCAATCACTGATCACCAATGGAAAGCAATCATGTTAAATAGCAAAATAATATGTAGTAATTACAAATCCCAAGAAACTCAAGTTTAAGATCATACATAAATTACAAACTACCCCATATTGCAGGAGCAAATATGACAATGACTGCTCCGGAGTATGTGTAAGGTGCAAGCAGCATGTAGGCACCTACGTGCACTTAATGTGGTTCTGCCCGGTAATTCATAAATTTTGGGTTGAAATTGGCAACCAAATATCCCCTCAGAGAACCCTCAGTCTTCTATAGTACTGTGCACGGTTATCAATCTTACAGCACTGGCTAGATGATGCAAAACCATCTGTTTCAAGTTGGCTCTATAATGTTCTACAATTAATCCCACTGGAAAGGCTCACGTTCTCCAAGGAGACAGATGAGTTCTTCTCTGTTTGGAACCCTGTTATGAATTTTATTGGTGAGGAATATGCCAAAATCATACCAAGAGGTTTTGCAACCGTGGGATCCAAGTGACTCAGTGAAGGAAGAAAGTCCACAATATTTTGTTTGTCACTGTGTGCGACTGTCTGCATGGTTGGCCGCCATGTTGTATGTAATTCATGTGGAGGACAATATTCGGCATATAAAATGTGTGGGCCGAAAAGTGGATGTGTGTAGGAGGGAGGTTTTTGTAACTTTGGGTTCCGGGGTACGCCCAGGGAGCTAGGTTCACAATGTTCATTGGTATTTAGTAGACGAATGATGATCCATGTTTTTTGTTTTTGTTTGTATTTTTTGTGTCCGGGATTGGTTGTTTGTGTGGTTGGCAGGAATGTTGCGTGCTGTTCTGTTTGTGAGTGGCATGTTGCACGTAACCTGTGTGTAAACTGAAAATAAATAAAAAGATTGAAAGAAACAAACAGTCGAACAATAAAAGCACAGAGAGAATAAAAATAAAAGCTCATTCATTTCCACTTTGTATACCACCACCTCCTGGATATTTTATTTCTTCTCATTTCAATCACTGGCAAAATACCAACTGTTGCATGACTGTATAATTTCACATTTAATCAAAAGACAAATGACTAGAGAAAATTATTGTAACGATTATGAAAATATTGATTAAACACACAAATAACACATTTTTAACAATAAGACTAAAATGTAAACATTTAAAATTAAATAAAAATGATAGATATATAAATCGATATACTGTATATAGATATCCGGACACAAATAACATTGAAAAACATAATCAATCTGCACCATGTCCCAGCCCACACAAATCGTGGGAAACCATGTCTTGCAGTTGTCACACTGGCCTCATGACACCAACCCCTCCAAACTCTCCTGAGAGTCAGGTGCCCTGGAATGGCCACACCGCCGAACTGTCAGCTCCATCTCTTCAGTGGTGTAACCTACTCACAGAAAGAAAAATATATATTTTTATTTAAATGCACAGTGTGTAAGGTTCAGTGGCATCGAGGTGGTCTGTTGCAGATTGCAACCAACTAAATACTTGGCTCATTTCTCTCTTTCCAAGCGTGGTGGCCTTCGGGCAGGGAGAGGTATCTTTAGGATTTCTGTACAACAAGGAGCTACTCTTAGCAATACTCTGCTTTTCCACATGACTAAATAATTGTTTAACAATTTTAATAAATAAATTCAGAACAAGATTAGAATTTATATTTAAAATATATCTAAAAATTGTTTATAGTGTCACAGGGTGTGGTGGAGGACTCAAATGCAGACAAGACTAGAAGTTGAGTGAAGCAGGTATTTAATGGATAAAGAAACCAGAACAGCAACTTACAGGAACACAAGAGGGAATCCACAGAAGACACGAGGGGGAAAATCCAGCAGAATGAGGCAGACCGGGAACAGGACGAGCCAAACGGGCAGGTAGACATGACAATAATCTGGCAGTGAGTGCGCGTGTGACTGGGGTTTAAATATTGGATGCAGCAGAGTAAGCAGGTGAGTAATAGCTGATGAGGTGAGTGTGACTGGCAGGTGCACTGAATAAACTGATTAGGTGAGTGACAGATGGACAAAACAGGATAATTGTGGCAGAGCTGTGACATATAGAGCAGCAACAGTTATGTTTACGACAACAAAGTCACTAAAGTCATTAATATCTCACTGGAAACAAATGTAAAATGTTATTAAACAAATAACACTTCCGAGTGAAGTTTATAATGAATGAAGAACAGTCATTCCTCCTGTCCTCTGTCCTCATGGCTGCTCAGCCAGCAGAGAAATTTACAAAAAAATTCATGCTGTGCTTGTGAAAACATAGCAGCGGTGGCCGATTGAATTAAGTTTCGAGTTTGACTACATGTCCATTTTTCTTGCACAGATGTATTGATAAAGTATCGGCTTTTTATTCGCTAATGTTTTATTGCACGAACAGTAACAAGCCAATGCGGACTGCAACTTGAAATTAAATAACATCAGAGCATTAAAATGTACTAATAAAAGCACCAGTAACAGCGGGGCTTATCAATATTCCGGTAATTTAGCACTGGGGCCCGTTTAATACCCGGTTTCGGAAAGTATCACTCCCTGTAGATAACGGAAAATGCGAAATCTCGGCAGAGCCAGTGTTCTAGGCTGCTGTAGAAACATGGCGGTGCAAGATGGCGAACTTCGTGGGAGACAACCCGCTCCACAGGTAGATATAAATGGCTTTTTCTAAGCAAACGAAAACACAACAATTCTTAGTTTCGGGTCACTATACATTTGATTAAAACATAGTTATGAATATTATATTCCAATGCTGCCAATTAATCCCCCTAAATGTTACACACTGTTCCTTTAAAGAAAATTGTCTGATTGTCATGGGTTGGCGTGCAAAGACATTAACATTGTTAATGTATACATTAAGTACACTAGCGGGGATGTCATGGATCCAGAAGACGAGGAGCTACATGATAAGGGTCTGGTCTGGAGGTTGGGAGGCTGTATAAATAACAGACAAATCTTAAACGTCTTTTGTTTACTCTTAATGTCACCAACGTGTTAAAATGTTGCTTGTTTTTACAGATTATACAAAGCATTTACAGTAGGAGGGAGAGGAAGGAGTTTGGGACCTTCAGAGGCCACATCCCACTGCCGGTTTTGAAGGCTCTAAAATAATCACATCTTATTATTATAACACTAATAAAACATACTCATAACAATGTCTGGGCATCACAATAGTAAATATATTTTGTTATTTATTTGAATCAAAAAGTATAAAAGATAGGCTTTATCATTACCTCGCTGACCAGGAGTTGGGTGAAGTTGGTGATGTCCCTCAATAGGCAGGATCATTGGTGATAGTATGCCGCTGATGGCGGGCAGACAGGGACTGTGGGAGGCACAAGAACCAGCTAACTGATGTCATCACTGACAAGTTAGCAGCTTTAAGTTCCTGGGAATCAGCATCACAAACAACCTGACATGATCGTCACACATCTCCATCCTGGCGAAGAAAGCTCATAAAATGGCTGTATTTCTTAAGGAAACTTAAGGAGGCAAAATTCCCGTGCCAAGTTCTTAATAACTTTTACAGCAGAGCAATAGAAAGCATCCTGACTGCAGCCATTACAAACTGGTATGGGATGTGTACGGCACATCCCATATTTTTTTTTATGTTTCCTTTCCTATGTAGCAAATTGGGACTATAATCTAAATTGCATTGTGCAACCTTGTACAGCAGGGGTCTCAAACTCATTGTTAAACTGCTGATGTGGCTCTGGGCCACATCAGCATCACGGTCGCCCTCAAAGGGCCGGTTGTAAGTGTAAGACTGTGTAAATGTATCTACTCCCTAACATATTGGTAAATAACTGTCTCTGCATTTGATTATTGTTTATTTAAGTGTAAAAATATTGTACATGCAGTTATATAAATGTAAAAATATATTTAAGCACATTTCTGTTATAACTTAAATCCTTTTAATTTAGGGTTAAGAAACCCACATTACTCTCTCAAAGATCAAACTATTAAAGAAAATAGCAAAGACAAATATCAAACACAAGTTATTACAATAACTTTGTTCAATGTTTAAAATCCTTTCAAGGGTGCGTTTGCACAATCCCACGTTAAGTATTTCATGTGTTGTAAAGCCACGTTTAAAGTAGTCTTCAATGTACTCACAATACATTTCCATGTCACATGTAAGGTAACCAGCCAAAGAGCTGCTTCCGTGACTGTGTGTTTAAGTATCTCATCATTTTGAATTTCTATCTCAGAATTATGACTTTCTATCATATTTATGACTTTCTATCTCATAATTTCGACTATGGGGATAGTCTAACTTTAAATTTATTTTAATTTTATTGTTTTTAATTCTGCTGGCGGATTCGCGGGCCACATAAAATGACGTGGCGGGCCGGATTTGGCCAGCGGGCCGGGAGTTTGAGACCCCTGCTGTACAGTGACAAACAAAAACCTTGTAACCTTGTCAGAAGGGGCAGAGCAGGTTGAGGGGCCAGCGATGGAAAGGCCGGAGCTGGTGGCTGGGGCAGCCTCGAGACGCCCGGCAGGTAGGGGAAGTGGCTACCCGGCTGGTGTCTTCGGCCTCTTTTGGCCAGCGCTTGGGCATCGCACAGTCCTCTGCCTCCTCAGCCAGGAGGTGGGCCAGATCTACTCTTATCTGGCCTGATGTTACCACGGGATGGGTGGCTTATTATTGGGGGAGGAGGAGGTGACGGGGGGGTTCTGGGTATTCTGGGTTGGGGTAGGGTTCAGGGGATGGCTGCTTAACGCTGACACTCTATGACAGGGCCAACAGGGGATAGAGATGTCTGGAGAGGTGGGTAACATCAGGCGCAGCCCAGGAAGATGGTGATGGGTTTGGCGGAGGTGGTGAGGATGGTCCTACACCAAGGCCAGGACAGTGACCCTTGACCATCAATGGCCATTGGGTCCAGAGGGTAGAGACCACACCAACTGAACCCAGCCACCACCACTCTCCCATCCCTCTGGTAGGAGTCACTTAGGAAAATTATTATCATACCATCTGGGGGAAGAACTGCATTGCAACAGTGACTGTGAGTTCAGGATCAGTTTGGCATGCGGTGTGTCTGTCCTATGTTCAAACATCGGTTGTGGTGTACGATATTTGGGACAATAAATAACTTTAGTCTTCAGAAATAATATTATACAATAATGTTTGTTCTACATAAAATAACGGTGTCTATAAGTTAACAAGTTGGTTTGAGGTACCCAAACAGCCCTGTCAGACGTTTCAACTGTGTATCAATCACTTAAAGCTAACTATTTCAACCATTTAGGTGTGCAAATCACTGTTAGCTCCCTAAATCAATTGATCCATATTGTATATGCCCATTGTTTGCACTGAAACTGTGTTCATAAGCAATTTAGTCCGATCATCAATACAAGAGAAACATTTCAGATAGTTTTACTTACAGTTTGCGCTGACTCGTCAACAGGGCCCTTTATAGATCGACCCGTCTGTTAGCATATGCTTAGCTGAAAATCTGGCTACATACCGTGGTGCGTTGACGAAAGAGTCCTCTGAGAAGTGGCGTGAACTATGAGTTGGGCGCCTCCCTGTACTTCACAGGAGCGCTTTGCCTGGAATAGATGACCATATAAAGAAATCTGGCACGAACTGACCAAAGTAAAAAAACATTGTTGGAAACAATGTTCACAATGGTCAGAAGCCTGATGTTTTTGCTCACAGGAAATACTTTTACCTCATTATTTGACACTTTGGCACATTTAATATGAACATCAGACATTGTAACATTATAAATTAACTAATTATTAAATAAGAATACGCATAAAGGTCTTCTTTAAAGCGAGATTAATTAAAGTAATTTCACCACAGCCCAAACAGAAGAAGAAAAAGAATACGCAAGGAGTTTGTTATATCCACCAAATCAGATTCAAGTTTTCCACATCATGCATTTGTATTCCCGAACAAGGTCCTTCAGCTCTCAGCTCGGGGCTTTGCTGCCTTGCTCAACAGCTCTTCAACAGTCCGCCTGGCTGATGCTGCTGAGACATGTGAGATTGAACCTACAGCAGATCTTTTATCTGCTGCTCAGTTTGACCACACTCATCTCCCCTATCTCTGTCACGTGTTACTTAATGTCTTTGAGTGTGTAGTAGACGTGTTTCGGTAAAATCACATATCCCTCTCCGAGAGCTGCTGGCAGCTCGCGGCCGGTCCTTGGTGTCTCACATGCCGCCTTCAGTCTCTTTAGCTCTCTCTCCTGCCGCCGACACTTCTGCTGCGTCGTCTTCAGCTTCTTCCTCAGACTCCCCAACTGCTCCTCGAGCTGCTCCATGCGCTTCTTCTGCCTAGCAGAATCCTCCGCTGTGTAGTTGTGGTCGCAGGAGACTGCCACTGTGTCGCACCGGATTTCGGGCAGGCTTCTCGCTGGCTCCTCCTCCTCTACCACCGGGTCAGAGGTCAGAGGGAAGTGGATTTCTGAGGGGAAGGGATTCTCCAGGGACTCCGCCTGTCAGAAAATAAGCATACAGAAGTTCTGATGCTGCTTTCTTAACAAATCAAGAGGATAACATGAAGTTAAACGAATCTAATTGCCTGGCTGACTCTCATCGACAACTGATGGATATATTTGTTCTTCTTTCTTAAGAGTTCTATCTTTGATGACAGCATGCTCTTATTTTGAAACAGAACAGGAGTGGAAACTGACAACTGGAGCTTTCAAAGACTGGGAAAGGTGCTAAATTTGATAGTCAGATTATTAATATAGCAGAAAACAACTAATTGCCATGTAAAGCTATAGTGGAGTCTACCTGATATAAATACATACATATATACATATACACATATATACATATATACAGATATAGATGTATACATACATACACATATCGATATGTATACATACACATATCGATATGTATACATACATATCGATATGTATACATACATATCGATATGTATACATACATATCGATATGTATACATATATATGCATATGTATGTATGCATCCATGCATATGTATGTATGCATCCATGCATATATACATCCATTCATATATACTGTACATACAAGCATACATACATACACATATAAATACATACACACATGTACATGTATCAAAACACTAGTGCTGGGCACGCATTAATTAATTAATGCAGACAATTATTTTACCGTGCGTTAACGCAGTTTTTTTTTTATTATTAAGCGGACATTTTTAACACCATAATCGGCCGGCAGCGGGCGGTGAACTGCTGTTTATGTCGCGTCTCTTCCTGTTTCCTTCACCTACACTCCCCTGGGTCCTAAGCCCCTCCATGTACAGCTTCCTATGTACCAATGTACATTTATAAAAAATACCACACATATTACGGTAATCAGCGTTGCATATGTGTCTGACCACAATACCAAAAAGAGAAAAAAAGAAATGATTAATTTAAATTATTTTTGTGAGAGTTTTTAAAGTTGTTTTGTTTGGAATATGTATAATAAGCATAGTTATCGCTACTGAGAATTTATCAAACATCAAAAAGCAAAAAACATGACTCATATATATATATATACACACATATA